CTCCTTTGGACTTTGAAAGCGGCGAGCGCATCAGTACCGTCACTCGCGTCCTTTCCTGTTATGGATCGACGGAGATGGGCTTTATACCCACCATCTTGATCAAAGACCCCAGGGACTGGCAGTACATTGACTGGGCTCCCATAGCTGGAACCGTCATGGAACCCGATGCGGGAGAGTTCCATGAATTGGTCATCAAGAGGGACCCGAAGCTCGAAGCATACCAGACAGTCTTCATGGTTTTTCCAGAGCTCAGCGAGTGGCGCACCAGCGATCTCTGGTCGGCCCATCCGGAGCACAAGAACTTGTGGAAGTATCGCGGACGCAAAGACGATATCATTGTGCTCAATAACGGCGAAAAGTTCAACCCAGTCATCCTCGAATCTGTCGTTGCATCGCATCCATGGGTCCGTGGTGCCCTTGCCGTGGGACAGGGCCAATTCCAGACGGCCCTCATCATCGAGCCGAGATGGGATGCCATGGAGCCCAAAACCTCAGCGGCCGACATTATCGAGGCCGTATGGCCCTCGGTTGAGCAGGCGAATGCAGCTTCTCCCACCCACGCAAAGGTTTGGCGCTCAAAGGTAGCCGTTGCCAGCCGCGAAAAGTCGTTCTTGCGTACTCCCAAGGGTTCCATTCAGCGTCTGCGCACTATTGAGCTCTTCCAGCCCGAGATTGACGCTCTGTACGGGGGCGGCGAAGACCCATCCAAGGTGCAGAAGCTCGATCCGGCAGCTGATGTAGATCAAATCAAGAAGTATCTTCGGGAAACGTTCACAAGCAAGGGCCTTGCCATCCCCACCGATGCCGATGACAACGCCGATCTCTTTGGCTTCGGCGTCGACTCCCTACAGGTGCTGGCCCTGGCATCTGCGCTCTCTAATGCACTCCCCGCTAGACAAGTTGCGCCCAAGGATGTCTACTCGCATCCAACCATTGAGAGTCTGGCCCGGTGGATAAAATCGCCCGGAAGTCCCGAGGGTGAGTCAACAGTTGGTCGAGCAGATGCCATGCAGGCCATGGTCAACAAGTATATCCAGGACTTTATGCGTCCGGTAACAGTAGTGGTGACCGGTACAACGGGTTCACTTGGCAACTACATCCTGCAAGCCCTCTTGAACGACATGCGCGTGTCTGAAGTCTACTGTCTCAATCGATCCGCCGACGCCGAGGCGCGACAAAAGCATAGCTTCGAGGCGCGTGGAGCTGCTGCGGATTTTCAGAGGGTCAAATTCATTCAAGCTGACTTTGGTCGCGAGCACTTTGGCCTCCCGTCCGCCGTCTACCACGAAATGCTCGAGAGAGTCGACATCATCATCCACAATGCATGGGCCGTCGACTTCAACAAGACGCTTGCTTCGTATGAGGGCACACACATTGCCGGCACTCGACGTTGTGTGAACTTCAGTCTGGAATCCAAGAAGAGAGCACAGGTCGTCTTCATCTCCTCCATTGCCAGCGTTGGAAACTGGAGAGAAGATTATCCGGTTCCAGAGAAGATGATGCATGACGATAACCTGCCGCTGCCTGGTCAGGGTTACGGCGAATCTAAGCACGTTGCCAGCCGAATCCTGGAAGCCGCATCAGCTCAGGCCGGCGTGCCGTCGACGATTATTCGCACCGGTCAGCTGGCAGGACCAAGCGACGGTGGCATCGAGTGGAACCGACACGAGTGGCTGCCTAGCTTGGTCATATCGTCGGCAGCCATGCAAGTCTTGCCTGATAAGCTTGGTAACTCCGACAACGTGGACTGGGTGGCGCTCGACGATGCCGGAAAGACGGTGGTGGAAGTGGCTCTTGCGCGTCAGCGCGAGGTCGCTGCCGGAGGTGCGCCATGCAGTGTGGCGCATTTAACCAATCCGCGAACAATCAAGTGGGAACGATTGGCACCTGCAGTAGCTGCGCATATTGAGAAAATGACAGGCAAGAGCGTGGAGGTGATGTCCTTTGAGCAATGGTTGTCCAAGCTGCGGGAGGTGCAGACCACAACCGAAGATGCAAAGCGCGTGCCAGCCGTCAAGTTGCGAGACTTTTACGAGGGACTTGCATTTTCCGAGGGCGGGCTTCCGCCGCTGGCCACCGAGCGAACCGTGAGGATTAGCCCAACCTTGGGATCGATGAAGGCTGTTGATGAAGAGTTGATGACGAGATGGATGCAAAGTTGGTTTTCATAGCGCACCGTAGAGAGTTCAATAGGCACATAGATTCGTTGGCACATATATGAAATAAACGTCCAGCAAGACCGTGTAATCCTATTTGGAACTGAGAGGTACGGCATCTATGGCGGTCTCGAACGCCGTTCGCAATTCCCTTTGCCTGGGAGCAGCGGACTGCTTGCCGCTTTCTTCGTCCGTTACAAGATACCAAGTGCAGGGCATTTAACTGAGACCTGTGGCCTCATGTTTTCATCTACATGATTCGTGACACGCGTTGACCTGCTTCACAAATTAGCCCACTTCTCCCTGTCGTCAGCTTGTCCAGACTCAACCACAGCCTCCTCGTACATACTGATTCCAGTTATAAGTCATCATATATTATTGACAAGGGAAACCCATCTGAACCCGCTGACTTACGACCAGTGCACGCTACACTCGCCTTACGAAGCTCCAAACCCTGATTTTCAGAAGGTTGGTCGCCCGGTCTCGTTTCCTTGCTTAGGTAGTTGCAGCGAATTGGTTGCCTGGCGCTCGGAGCTTTTTTAACTCGCCATCACACTTTGTGTGACCCACTTGAATTGACACACACATTTATGGAACCCGGTCGAGTATCTTGTGTATATCTGAGTTGGGCGAAAAAGAAGAATACCCGAGGAAAGACCTTAACATCAAAGCCCTCTCTGGCAGGTGGTCGGCCGCATTCGCCAATGTGTTGCAGGAGCGTGATGTCGTCCCAATGAAGCAGTCCTGAGGTAAAAAGAGCTTGGGACGCTGGTGCAGTTCACACAATGAAAGCCGGAAAACCGCTCAGTGAGTTTTGTTTTCGACAATATGAGTGAAGTTGGTCACCATCTCCGATTGACCTGCTCTCGGAAGGATTGCACGTTCTATCGCACTCAAGGCGGTGGATGGAGCTTCAACGTTGATTCTCCTCATGAGGTCTGGAGCCGGCACCGAGACGCGTCCGATTGCCAATTCCTCGGGACGATGGGTGAGGTTGACTGTTCTTGGGCCAGCGCTGTTGACCACCGTCGAGTCCGTTTCAAGATTGTTTTCCTTTCCTTGGCTCGGGGGAACACCGCTTAAGCAAGATGACTACTCCACCCACGACAGACATACCGGCCACGCTGATCATCTACGCAATCTGTCCCCTCGTCAACGATGTTCTTGAATTCGTCCACGTCGAGCACGGCGTCAACCATGTGCTGGCAGAGCTCTCGCGCCTGCTGAACAAAATGGTAGCTGCCCAGGCGTAGGTTTGTTTACCCTGGGTGGCGCGACCTGCTCGCAGCAGATGCAATCGCTCTGACTGGGTGAGGACATGCTGGTCGTTTCTTTTTGTCTTCAGAATGGTCGGCCATCCTACCATATTCTACAGGCGGACCGGGTCGTCAAGACGAAAATAACCAGGACACAGTTTGAGAAATAGTCCACAGACTGTCGCCGTCGCTTCAATGAATACATGGCATTTGAAGATCAACAGGCAAGGTGCGCCGCACAGGGCGGTCACGGGCAGCTAGCCATGAGCCAATATTCCAGTGCAGGCACTCCCGACAGCATGTGAGGTGCCAGCAGTGTGGTGGACAGCATCACGAGCTATGAAGTAGTATATGCCCCGCTCATCTTCTAACATGGTGTCACTATTCAACAAAGATCTCAGGATAATGCCCTGAGACTGCTAGACATCCAGCTGAGCGAGACTCTGGCGTACGAAGCATCCACCTAAATCGTCATAGATGGACTCCATGAGCGTTCCTATGCCGACGACTAGCTGAAGCTATGCTCGCGGTTTTTTAACATAGCGTCAAGGATCCCAATCATTACGGAAAAGCCGGATACCATAGTTCGAGCGTCAAGCAGCCGCTGTGTCCGCAGTAGTAAGGTCCATTGGGATGAGTCTAATGTTTGCATGAACGAAGAAGATGTTGGCATGAAGTCTCGTTGCTATCAGTGTACGATGCCACTGCGCGACACCTCTTACACCAGCAGCTGCACCCTAGGTTTTGTCCTCACAGAGGTTTCCCTCAGGTTCATGTCGCATGCGACATGGTGAATGCGCCCTGCGACTGTTATGAGGTGAGTCAAGGAGTAAGACTGCATGCTGACAGTCTTACTGCATGTATGACCACTTGCTTATGGTCATACAATTGATGACCCTTCATACGAGGCTACGCACGGGCCTTCCAGCCCAGAATATATTCTCTGATGTTCCCTCGAAGGTATACTTGTATTTCACTCATAAAACACATCTCTACTTTCCATCCATCGTTCTCACTCATACATACTATCTGTCTTCTTCAGAAGATAAGGAAGAAGAACATAGGCTATCTCAGGTACCCGAAACGCAGCCATACCAGCAGCAAGCTCAATTCCATCTGGACTTCTTGCTCCATCTAGTTGCAATCCCAAGCAGGCCTAGCGCTCACGGAAGTCAAAGTGCGTGGGTCATCGGCGCGCTAGTCCGAATACGGTTACTAAAACGGTTTTTCTTGGCGGACCACCCACGCCAGAACACTTCAAGCCATTCCCTCTGACACCCGATCGGTTGCTGCCACAAGCCTGCGCAAAAGGTTATCTGCACTTGCATATCGTCTGTATAAGCTAGTTCTGGTGCTTGCGCCAGAATCTTTCTGTGCACAAATATGACTTCCAACACCCAATATTACACACTCACTTTCGCGCCATGCGTTCACTCATAAATTTTTTAACTACCCCTGGGGTTTTATTGCAATCTCCGATCCTCTTCTTCCCATACACAGAACCACAGCTCTGGCAAAATGCCATCAAACGAGAGTTCAAAAATCAGCCCGAACGCATCGCGCTATGGAATGATAGACCTCTATGAAAGCGGTTTAGAGACCGACTTTACAATTACCTGCGGGCATTATGCGTTTGCGGTACACAAGGCCTACTTAAGCGCACAGTGCGAGTATTTCCGGCGCCTGGACAACTTCAGAGCAAGCCCTCCTGCACCTGCTAAACTCCCACGCTAACCACAGGATTCAGGAAGGCCGTAGCCGCTGTCTAGAGCTGCAAGCAGCAGTGAAAGACGAGGATATCCTCCGTGGCCGTGATGACCCCGATACCATCCGTATCCTAGTCCAATTCGCATATTACAACGATTACAGCCTGGACGAGTCCACCCCTCCTAACCTCAACACAAAATCGCACTATCACCTCTCCGACAGCGAACAGGTAATCTCACCCCACGTAAAAGTCTACGCGGCAGCGTTGAAGTATCAATTCCCCTTGCTTGAAAAAGCATCAATCGAGAAGTTCAACAAAGCCCTCGGCCGGAACTGTGAGTCAGACGGCGTCAAAGACGCAATCGAACTCGCGTGCACTATCCTCCCCAACGAGAAGAATCCGCTTAGGAAGAGTATTATTAAGTTGTTATCGAGGAGGGATATGCTGCTTGAAAAACCGGGGATTGCGCAGCTGATTAGGGATGATCCGGTTCTGTGTTTTGATGTTATGCAGGAGATGAGAAGCTCCGGTCCCACACATCCGTATGCAGATACGGATTTGCCGTCTATGGTGTTTAGGCGGATGCCGAGGTAGGTGGTGGGATTTAGGGGGGTAGGTGTTGATTTAGGGATGGGTTTTGGTTTGTGGGGCGTTGGATTTGTGGTTGTTGAGTACGAGAGGTAGAAAAGGATCGTGGATAGCTACGCATGCGAATGGTTTTTATATCGATATCGCACCTTCAGCAGTCAGTTGATCCATCTTCTCTTGTGTTCGCATAATCCTTCGAGCATACTGCTTTTCGTCAAGCACTTCTGGAAAATAGACTAACTGCAGTTATTCTGCAGCCTGCGAAAATTTCGATGTGCTAGCCTGCCACGAAGGCGTAACTATAGGATTCGGGGCTATTATTCAACCTTGGGTAGTCCTGCTTGGCAGAGTCGACTGACAACGTTAGCCTTCATTCGTCGTGATGCTAGTAGTAGCTGGAGCTTATCTGACAAAGTACCGGGTACAATTTGTCATATCGGGAGCAGGGAACGGGCCAAGAGACATCGAAACTGTTGTCTGGTTGATACTTTAGGCTGACTGCATTCGTAGCTTGACAGATAGGGGACAAACCACATGGTTCGGTATATTAAGAGGGCAGGCAATGAAGTGGCCAGTGGTCTTTGTATATCAGTGGCTGGATAATGTATATGTACTCTAAATCATGTCGCTGCTTTTACATATGTCCTTCCACCTCCTCCATGAGCCTTGACGCGCTGAGCTCATAACTTAGATGCTTGAAGATCTGAACCTTTAGGTTGATTATTGCAAGTTGAAGTTGCGTAAGCAGGGGTCAGAAAAGGCAGCCACTGCTTAGGTAAGTTGACCCCCCAATGAAATATGCGTTGACCAATCTGGTAAGTGGCCCCAAACCTGTGTGTTGTTTCGTCGCGTAATGACGTTAGGCTTCAAAAAGCTCACCACGCACTGCGCGTGTAATTTCCACGCGTTACTCCTCTTCCTCCCACACTTTCTCTGCAACCAATACTCTCTGCGTCACCGCACGGCGACCGTTTCAACACACAGTACGAACGCATCGTTACACACAAATCAGCTTACAACTTTCCAACGAAATGGCAAAGATGTGTGTCAGCCAGCGTGTGGCTTCACCGCCGCGCATGAACACGCGCTCTCAGCAGAAGGATACTATGACGAAGAAGTCTACTCTGGGCGTCTACGCTGATAAGGCACCGCTTAAGGTGCATGAGCTGCTGAATCCCGTTTCGCCTGTTCTCTCGTGCAAGACTGCAGCGCTCCAGGATGTCACCAACGTGCCCAAGGTTTCCAAAGGGAAGCGCACGCTAGCTGATAGCCACAAACCTGTCGGTATCGCCAAGGGCAGGACAGGCAAGCTCAAGTCGGCGAAGATCGCGATAGTAGCCAAAGCCCCAGCGAAGACCAAAGGTGATGAGCAGGCAATCGCTGCAACTTTTGACATTCAGCCCACATCGATGGGTAAGAAGTCCGTGCAGAAGGGCAAGGCAGCTCTGACGAATAGGCGTGGCGAGGAGACCAAATATTCGAAGCAGACCGGGAGTGATACGAAGGCAGTTGCTGTAAATGCGACTGGAGCCGTCGACGAATCGCCCAAGATTCTCAGAAATGGCAAAGTGCGCCATAGCATCGCGTCTGTTGCGACCACCGGAGGTACGTCTAAGAAGCGCAAGTCTTCCGACTCGCTGGAGTCAGTCGCGAAGAGATGTCATGCCACGCAGCAGGCGGCAGTGTCAGTCAAGTCGGGCAAAACTGGAGGCGTCTCAGGAAAGTCCATCGGGCACGCTTCTGCACCGGCGGAGACACCAGAGCTTAGGCCCATTGCGATTTCTTCAGACTCTCCGTCGCCAGAGCTCCACTACTCGCCTACTCCTCCCCCAATTCTCCACGACACCCCTTTGTCAACCAAAGCCCTTCCCGAGCCCATCGACATAGATGGTTTTGACGATGAAAAATATCTCGCCGAATACGGCGACGAGCTCCTCATGCACCTTGCCACGCTAGAAGGCGAGATGATTACCGAGGATTACTATCCCGACAAGCAGCCGCACCTCAGCTCCTCTCTTCGCGGCGAAGCTTACAACTGGCTTCTAAAGCTGAACGCCCAGCTCCGCGTCCCGGCTGAAACACTTCTCGTCACGATGAACATTCTAGATCGATTCCTCGCCATCAGAACCGTAGACGAGAGGGCCTATTGGCTCGCCTTCTTCACCGCCCTCCGTCTCGCTTGCAAGTACACCACCATCAAGATGCCTGACCTGAAATGGTGCGAGCAGATCTGTTTCAAGAAGTTCACGCGCTCAGAGTTCCTGACGTCCGAAGCGGCCATGCTCAAGGTGCTTAAGTTTCGCCTCTCGTGCCCTACGGCGCACAACTTCCTCTCCCGTTTCTCCAAGGTAGATGGCAAGCCGGACGACGAAGTTCACACCGCCGCCAAAGCGATCGCGCAGATCAGTTGTTTAGACGTTGGGTTCATTGGATACAGGCCCTCAGCTATCGCCACTGCGTCGGTGTTTCTTGCTCGTAAGGCTTTGAGCCGCGCCGACTGGGATCCAATGGAGATTGGAGAGGTGACGGGATATGTCTGGGGCGAGGTCAAGGGCATCTATGACTTTATGCTGGAGTTCCTGCGTGCGCCGATTAGGCATCATTGCTTCTTCGCTCCTGCTCGCGCTGGTGAGCCAGTAAATCCGATTGTTGGGATCAGGAAGTGGGCGTTGAAGACGAAGGGAAATTGAGATGCCGGTTAAGTGCAGTGCTGGAGTTGGCGAGCTTTATGAGCTTGCTTGTCGGATGAAAGTCTTGTTTACTGGTGTCGTTGGTCAATGAAACCTATGGTGGCGTGCTGCTGGTGTAGGATACGATGGTGACTTTTCTTTGTCTCTTTAACTGCTTTGACTTTTCATTGAGTGTTTCAGTATGGGTCTTGTTTATGTAGTATGCAGATGATAGCCGTCAGATGGCAACGTGCAACGTGGTAATGAGATTGCCTTGTCTAGAGTAGAGTTTATGGACCATCTTCTTGGAGGGTGAGTAGGCCAGCTTAATTTAATTGACGCTCTCACATTCCCAAGCTCATTTAGCAGAGCTTCACTGCCATCAAGTGCCGTCACTGAATCTCATGTACGATCATTCCTCTGCAGTAGATAACTTATCTCTCATACCCACTAAAGTCCCTGCAGATTCTCCTGTCATCGTCGTAAGAGCACTTTCTGCTCTCCGCATTCGTCGGGCCCACCCCATCACGACTTAGCAAACACCATCCGAGGGGCAGTCTGAATGCGCGGGGTCCTCGATGTTGGATATTATCGCGGTTTGTCCAACATCCCTTCTTCGCTTGCCCATTTTTCTAATGGTTGCTTGCTGTGCGGTGAGCGCAATTACTTCGTCTAATGGGAGACTTTTCACCTTCCCCGATATAAAGGTCCATGTGTGCGACATGGACATCTTGAATAAATTGATGACTAATGAGCGCACTTTTTCCCGAGCGCCTGGCCTGAGATGTCAAGCCATGAAAGTTCTCATGTAAACTTCAAGCGAAACTGGTATAGGCTTCCCCCCCTTGGCAGCGCAAGGCGGACAGGGTTGTTATAGGGCCCTGTAGGACATCCCTTTCCCATTGTGCACAAGATTGGCCAATGCTGGACTCATAACCTGTAGGCATAGGGAGACGGTGAATAGAATCAAGAACAGTACCTGTAATCCTGGGTCTATTGTCATTTTAGTGAGAGGGTAGACGTAGACTGGCCCCACATTTCGGCCCGGCCCGGACCGCACGTATTTTGTGATTCCTTATTATAATTGTGAGCAGATGTGTACCTGCATACAAATCTCT